GCTGAAGATAAAAGTAAGTTTTTCCGCACCTGGTTCAAACAGTGCTTTTTGGAGTGCTAAAACATAAAATTTGCAGGCATTTTTTTTGGCAGAAAGCGTGCTTCGTATGAAAGGAAACAGTTCGTTGTAAATTCGAGAGCTGCTAAAATGGCGGAAGTATCGCTAAAATAATACTGAAGTTGATAGAAGAGCAACGGCCGGCGAGCACGATTGATGCGGTGGCCTAGGCTAAGGGCCACAGTAGCAAGGCCTGCTCGTGAGCAAAATCAATGACTAATTACGAGTGTAAAATAGTGGTAAAAAATGAGAGATTCGTTGCGCCATCTAGAAGTACGATGTTCGATGCTAAATTTTGTGATAAAGTACGAAAAGCATAAAGGCTTTTGGAGAAGTAATATTGTTGCTTCCATGCACGAGAAAATGAGAGTCAAGCACAGAAATAATGCTTTAAAAACCACATTTAGTTTGGTGGTATGAAGCGGTGCCAGTGTGACTAGCGGTTGGTAACGCAGTAAAGGTCAGACAAAGTTTGGAAACCGTTTTCATCCTTTATAGTTGTTGGATAAAGAGCAAAAAGTGTGGAAATGTGAGGGTGCGAGATAATGGGAATAAGCGGACTGTTGAATGACCTCTCGTCCGAACTGATGGATAGTTGAATTTTCATGTTAACAGAGGTTGAAAGTGTGATATCATATTGAAAACAGAACTTCACACTTATGTATTATTCTACTGCACTGGTTATAACTATGCGCTGATAGCAGGAAAGATCGCCCGTTGGCCTTTTGTGTTTTTTAAGCTAAGAACCTCCAGCACAATGCAAAATTACCAAAAACCCATGAAACAAACAAGGTCCTTTAACAGTTTTCCTCATTTATTTTGCCAGTAACGCCCAGAAATCCAAGCGCCTCCCAGTCCATACGATACTTCTTTTAACTGCTCTTTCTCTGAGTAGGCTGAAGTTACGGAGTGAATAGATTCTTTAGACCCTCTTGTTTTCCAAATCTGTCTTTACTTTTTTTCTCGACGCATATAATTCATATCTTTCAGGACTACTCGACCTTTGAATGTAACTGGAGTTGTTAGTCATGTTGCTCTAGCTTATTGTTTCTTTCGCTGTGCTCAAACTCATAAAGTGTGCCCTCGGTGTCTCAGATGCATGGATAATGTTGACCTTTGATGACGACAATAACAACTGCAATGACAGTGAGTCCACTTTTCGTTGCAGTGAGGAATCACTGACTATTCCTTATGACTTCGTCCTTCCTTTTGAGTTTTTCTATTTTCATGCAAAAAATGAAGACTCTTGTTTTGTCTTTTGATTCACGACGAAGACAATTCCTCCTCTTTTGTGCATGTTTATGTTAATGACTTCATCAACCATCAACTGCATGAATAGGCTTTTGCTAGCACAGCGCGACAAAAATCGGTTGATTAAAGCTTTGCTGAAAAAATGATACTTGAGCAATATGTGTTTTTGCGTCTCATGAAATAAAGAATATTGACATAGTTATGTGTATGTGTTTGGCTTTTATTAAGCACTTTCAAGTTAGCAACCAAAGAAGCTAGAAACTGAAGTTTTAAAAGGATATGTGCCGACTGGGAGAGGAAGAATGCAAGGTCTTGGCGCGAGATTGAATTCTGGAACCAAACAAAACAGAAGCGTGCTGTCTTTCTACATACGATTTCAAAATTTTAAATTTAGCTGTTATGCCAAGATCTTATGAATACCGAAGTGCAAATCAAACTGAGACCCGGATGGTTTGCTTGCTTTGGATTTGGGACCATACTGGTGGTTTGCCACGGGTGTTAGGGTCGCAAACGTGAAATAGCATCCGGGCGCGTCAAAGTTCAATCGTATCTT